TTGCAAATATGGAAAAATTGATGTCGCTTTTTGAAAATGCTGACCCATTCAAAACGTGGTGGCCGACCATTGCGGCCATCGTTGTCGGCGTTGTCATAATGGTGCGGTAAGTGTGTGAAATCGTAATCATACAACATTCCATTTTCCATAACTATGGAAAAGCGTAATTAATTCTTTGATAGTTATGGTGAAAGTTGAAAAACTGCAAAATATTATTATTATTTTTTTATCATTATCCATAATCATACTGATGGGCATATGCAGTGGCGCGCAAATATTAATTTTTCTTTCGTTTATTTTATGTATATTATTTTTTTGTATAAAAGTGTAGCTCAGTATGCAACAAAAACCATGTAAGTACAAATTTCAAATTTTGTACAAAATCTCATAAAATTCGACAATGTTTCATCAACATTCTTAACGTTTTGTACAGAATTTAAAAAATTCAAGTTATGCAGTTTTGTAGTCCATTAAATTATAATTTTTGATTTTTTGTCATTTATTCCCTTCCATTCAATGTACATATGTATGTATGTTCGACAATTTTCTTATATGCAGAAAAATGTACAACACCGTTCTGAATAAAAATCATGTACAAAGTATGAAATCTAAACTTGAATTGTTTTTGTTAGATAGCCGTATTTAAAAAAATATTAACATAAAAAAAAACAATAGAAAAATACCTCAAACTATGCCGTATGTACATTAGGATGGCCCGAAAAAGTAAAGTCGGAATTTTAATGCTCTCACCCCCTATCTATATCAAAAAAAATATATACCCCTTTTTTATTTTCAAATCAAAAAATATTTAGAGATCGTTCAAAGCGCTTAAAGTTGTCCATGTATTTTATATGCGAAAAACAACTTTTCGTAGAAATGGTATAGAATTCTTAAAATCAATATTTTTTGATCCGTAACTCTGATTCTCTTCAAACAACTTCCAGTAGTAATACCCAATTTTTTGGTGGGCCTATAAAACAAAGTTACTATAAAAAAATGGTTAATAAATAATTACGCCTAATATTGGGAATCTCCTAAAGAGAAGCAGAGGTTTCCGATCGAAAACTATTCATTTTCAAGAATTCTCTACCATTTCTACGAAAAGTTGTTTTTTTGCTTTGAGCGATCTCTAAATATTTTTTTTTATTTCAAATTAAAAAATAGAGGCATAATTTTTTCCGATATAGAACAATCCTAGGGGGTGAGAGCATATAAATTCGGACCATACTCTTTAACATGCATTTTTGGACCACCATAATGTACATACATACGTATATTAATCGATATTTGTACATATATATGTAAATATGTATGTACTACTTAGGTGTGCAATAAGTGAAGTGAGCTGAAGAGGGAAAACATTGTGTAAATGGAAAGTTTATGGCAATGAAGGCAACAACTACTACTTCAAACTGAAAAACAAAATATGCACATATGTGCAATATATGGCTTTGTGTGTTCATAACTTAGTTTCATTCGCACATGTCAAATTAATTAATAGTTTATGTTCATAGGCTTGCCCCTCCAACTAATTAATTTTTTTTAATTAGTTGTTTAACATTGTCAGCTATTTGATGAATAACAAGTAAACTCAGACTCAATTTTTCTACAGGCGAAATGAACTTTACCTCCTAACCGAATTGGCTGTGTCAGTGGAGGAAATCCTAAATCCCATAGAAGTGTCGGTAGAGTAGACTACCATTTAGGATTTTGACAACTATAATGATATATCCATATTGGTAATATTTCCTTTTCCTTTCCTTGAAACGTTTAATTAGGCGAAAAAGTGTCGAAATTACTCATTTTTTCATTGTCACTTGAAAAAATCATTATTGATTTTTTTTAAACAACTTTGCGAAGTTTTCAATATTCATATAAGAGGCAATGGACGTTGGCACCAAATACAATGTATCTGTGAAATTTCAAGAGTATGCAACCAAATTAAAAAAATGGTAGAATGCAGAATACTTGTAGCAGCTATTTTGTAATTTTTGAAATTTAACGATTTTTTTATTTAAATAATTTTATTTAATTCAAAATGTTAAAATTAGACAGTGTAAATGTTCTTCTTGCCAAAACTAACGAATCCAGTGTAATAAAACTAGCGTGTCAACAAATGAAAAAAATGACATTGAGGAAAAGATTACTATGATTTGAGAAACTAAAATTCCATTTATACATACAATTTTTTTGGCAAACTCGAAATTCAATCTAAAATTGTTATATACATGAAGAAAGTAATATATGTATATGTGTGTAAAAATCTTAAACGCGAATATTTATTTACTTTTAAATAATATGATTTTTAAGTTAAGGTGTGCGAGTAAACATGTTACATAGATGGGAGATTCCATGGGAAACTTAACCTCAGAGCACAAAATTTTTTCTTTATAAAAATAACAAATCAACCAAAAATAACAAATTACAGCTTTAAATGCATTTTTATTTCCTTTGTTTACGTTTTGAAATCAAGTTCTAAGTAAATTTTTTGAGTGAGTTTCGAATAGGTTGTGTTGAAAGTACTGTCAAATAATTTGCGATTCTTAATTGAAGTGTTTGGTAAGAAAACTATGTAGTAGAACACATCAGCGTATCAGAAATAAATTCGCAGATTTCCGTAAAATATATCTGCCCCAAAAAGCGGGTTCTTTTTTTGTCGCACCCGTGACAGAAAAAGTTAATCAAATTTTTTCCATATAAAAGTAAGCTGGAATTTTTTTCGTATTTTGTAATAACTCATATAAATAGTTTATCAAAATGTAGAATTGTTGAGTACTTTATACTTGAATTTAAACAAGAAAGAAAATGTTTTCTGTACAAATGTCCAACCCGTAACCGTGGAATCGTCCAGATAACTTCTTATGGTGGTACAGGGCGTTATACGTTACATACGCAACTACGGGTATATAAACACGAGTGGTTATTTTTACTTTTTTAGTATTTTTTTTTTATTATTTAAATGCGATTTAAATGGAATCTTGTTCTATGCGTCCATGTAATAACTCATGAGATTAACTCATATAGTACATACAATACTAGAAAATTTTCGCAGTGCCATTTTTTTTTTAATTTCACATAAACTATTGCAAAGAATTTTATTTTAACAACATTTTTTAATACTTATTAAAAAAATCGTGAGTTTTTGATTTTTTTTTTCGAAAAAATTAAAATGGCACTTTTCAAATTAAAAATTTTTGTTATAGAGTTTAAAGCTAATTTCTTTTTAATGCAGTCTAAAAAGCTTTTGGGGAAGTTTCAGATTTAAACGTCAAGTAGTTCACATATTAGAAAGATGCGCTCGGTTGGACGCCCGCATAGAGAAAAGCAAGGGTGTTCAAATTATCTCTGCCACCTAGGTGGTGGAAATATGAAAACAGACTTAAAATAACGAAATACAGTATTTTAGACAAATAAGGAGAAATTTAGAGGTGACTCGAGTCGACTAAAATCTTGAAAACTTTGGTTGGCGATTTATTGTTTCATTTCCTGTCTGCTTGCCATATGCATATTTTGCACCGCTAAGCGCGTTTGGGACATTTGACGTGAAACGCCCCATATATATATATATATATATATATGTATGTATATTTATGTACAGTAAAATTAAGAAAATCATCAAATTTTCCACAAAATGTCAAACCTCTTATTCGGAATTTTTGCCAAAAATCGACGGTATTTTTTAGCGACTTCAAACTTTGCACTTCATTATAATAAAATTGAATGGACTATAATATGAAACTGCGTGCTCAAAAAAATTCCAATAATTCTGAATGAAAAGTGTGAAATTTTGATTAAAAGTTTACAATTTTTATTTAATTTTCACAAAGTTGAAAACCTTGAGTTATATGGATTTTGTTGCAGTATGAACTATATATTTATTAAAAATGTATACAATTTAAACAAAACAAATTTCTTTCAAAATATGGGCTAAAAATAACTGTACGATTTTGACTGGCACAAACTGTATCTACTTTATCGGATTAAACAGCAGCTTCGAGTGGTAGGTTTAAGTATTAATTATGCTTAACGCTTCTGAAACATGTCAAAGAGAGACGTGACAATTGAATTTACCGAAACAATACTGACTGGATGTCACTATAATTGCTACACCGCAACATGCAACTTACATGCAAGCTAATACCCTGTAGGGAAAGCTCTTAGCTGAGAACTAGAATGCTAACAGTTTGCATTTCAGCTAAACTAGTTAATGTAGCGACTGGTATTTTTAACAATGGTGATGTCAATTGTCCGCTCCTGCATCAGTACTCTACCAGTAGAAATACTAGTAGCATCATACCAGTTGATGGATAGACTGCCAATTCACCCAATGCAAAGACAGATGTCGCTGATCGCATAAGTTATTCGAAATCTTCGAAATGGTAGGCTTTGGCACATACATAAGTACTAGTTCATGAACTGGTATTTTTACTGGCTGGTTTGGCATTTCACTACGGAAACTGGTATAATTTTATTTCATGACGAACTGGTATGACTTCAATCCTTAAATAATAGTTCATGAACTGGAATTTGTGCGTGCTAGTTCAGCTTTTCACTGCAGGGTATTTACACACCACTCTATGTGTGTATGTGTGCATGTATTTGCGCATGTAGTGTTGCGGTTAAAACAGGAGGCTAAATGTCACATGGCTTGTCCAAAGTGTTCATCAATTAACGATTTTACGCACTATCGCCTGAGCGCAAAACAGCCATTTTCAATTGTGTATATAGCACATACTAAATACTTACATAGATGTACATACATACGTATGCAGTTTGGCACAAGCGTGGCGCCACAGTCGGGGAGTGCGCATTCAAGCGACTAACCACGTAACCATATTTGTTGCAACAGCACTGAGGCCAAAATTAAATTGTTGTTTATCCAACTATTCGCCGCATTTGTACAAGTATTTTGCATATCGTGTGGCAAGTGCTCACGTTTCCCCCAACCGCTTGCAACAGCTTACTCTAATTCCATTATTCCTTCACACTTCTCTTTACAGCACACTGATGAGCGGCCAACGCTGCCCCAACGACAATCAAATACGCGATCAAATTGTCGTCGTTACTGGCGCAAATAGTGGCGTTGGCTTTGAGATTGCTAAAGCGTTGGCATCGCGTGGCGGCCGTATTGTGTTGGCTTGCCGCAACATAGCCGCAGCGGAACGCGCCGCAATTGTTATCAAGCGCGAACTTGCCTGCCAACATATCAGCCCGAATGCCGCCGCTGAGGAGTTATTTGTGGAGGCGCGCTATCTGGACTTGCGCTCCTTCGATAGTGTACATCGTTTTGCGCGACGCATCACCGGCGAATTCGAGCGCATCGACGTGTTGATAAACAATGCGGGCATTATATTCGCACCGGTTGGCGCACGTACCATCGACGGCTTCGAGGAACATCTGCAAGTGAATTATATATCTCATTTTTTGCTGACACAACTGCTATTGCCGCACTTGCGACGCTCACCCAGCGGCGGACGAGTGGTGAATGTAACAGCACATGCTCATGCTGCGGCCAAAATCGATTTCGACGATCCGCTAAATGTGGGCACGTGGGCGGTGAATTTCCATGCGCGGGATGCCTTCGCCCATTCCAAGCTGGCAGTAATGCTGGCAACGCGTTGGCTAGCGCGCCAACTGAAAGGTAAGTACACAGACATAGGGATAGAGGCTTCCGCCTACGATAGGTGGGCGATACTTTAAAAGTAGGACAAAAGAATGGTACTCAAAAGAATTTTTGGCAGGTGGTGCGCGTGCATAGCAAGTATACACAGATACATATGTGTGTGTGTGTGTGTGCGCGCGTGTTTAATATGAGTACACTTTGGCAGTATTAGCGCAATATTGTGCAACACATTGTTGGGTCGCAAAAGTTTTGGCAAAATGCCTCTCAGTCACGCCGTCAAAATAACAACAACCAAATGGGTATCAAAGCGCGGCCTTTTATACGAACATGATTTTTTATTTTGTTTTGGTGTTTCGGGTGGTAGGCGCAGCGGCCTTCATCATATTTGAATAGTCCGTTACTTTGTTAGCTTAGCTGTTGCCAGCGCTTGTAGCCTCTTTGAGGTTGTTTGCTGTTCTTTATTGCCTTTGTTTGCTTGTTGTTTTGGCTGGGCGTGTTGCTTGTTGCCCTTGCATACAACTTTAACACATTTTGGCAAAGTGATTTTAATTGAGTTTAAATCGTTTTTGCGCTTTTCATATTTTCATTTCGCTTTACTTTTGTTTGCTTTCGTTTCGTGTTTGTGTGTGTTGTTCATACGCTTTATTTTGCCATTTGCAGGCACTCCTCTAACCGTCAATTGTTGTACACCTGGACTTGTTCGTAGCACCGGTCATTTGCGCAAGTAAGTCAAGCGAGCACGGAAAGTAATTTATATTTCGCTCCTTTGAGAAATAGCTTCATATTTTAGGAATAACTTATATTGACTGCATGATCTTTTATAATTTTAGTTTTCATTATATACTGGCCCAGAATTTCTTTGGAGCTTGAATTGATATTAAATAATATTCAATCGAATCAAATATGTAACAATTCGGAGTTCGATGCTCCAGTATTAAAAAGCGAGTTAATAATAAATTTAGATGTATCAGAGAACTGTGTAGGGTCTTAAAATTTTGTTGAAAATAATAAGAAATCGTTTTATTTTCATCCCAATGGCTTACTGTTGATTTTTTTTTTATTAAATGAATTTATTAAAATGCTTAAAAGGCCTTTTCCCCAAATTTGTTCGAGAAATTAAACGAATACTGTGTCCTTCGAAGGACAATTGCCAACTTTGGCAACTATTTTATCCGTCTTTCGAAAGACTAGTTGAAAGATCTGCTAACGAGGAAGTCTTAACGTTTTTCTGTTTGTCTTTTAGCAATAAGTTTTCTAAAAATTAAATTAAATTAAATATATATATATATAGTTTTACATCACCGATCGCCTGATCTTTTTATTTAAGGCTAGTTAATGCTGGGAATACATACCGCATGCTTGGAGGAAGTTGTCCGTGTTATTTATTCATAAAGCGGAAGCAGGTCACTTGACTTATATAAATCATAAACCTATAAGCCTGATTTCCTTCACTCCCAAAATTTTAGAGATACTGTTAAAGAAACTTGGAAAGGAGAAACTTGACATTGCCACTCACTCAAATCACAGATAATTTTTTTAAGTCAAAGGGAAATCAATGGATTCGGCCTTACAGTACTGCGGGCTTTCGCTAACACTGCCAATGGATATTGGTCCAAAGAATCTTAGACGCTCCTTTTATTGGTTGTATCGACGCTATGTTTCGTGAGCGTTAGCCAAGATCGTTTTTGGACAACACACAAGTAAAGAGCAGAGCCATGAGAGGCTGTCTGCAGGGAGGGGCCCTCTCTCCCTTGCTTTGGTCACTTGTGGTGGGCGATCTCTTAATCAGACTACGTGAGTGTGGTTACGATGTTGTGGAGTACGCAGATGGCCTAGCAATTATAGTTACGGGAAAATTCAGCAGCACTGTCTCAGAAGTTATAGGTGCTGCATTTCGCGTGGTCTCAAACTGGTGTGCCAATGAGGGATTTGGCATAAAACCTCGGTCGTTCTGGTATCGTTTATAACGAGGTATAAACCAAACCTCTTTTGGGTCATTCTTGAAGGGATAGTGCTTGAATGCTCCAATGAGGTCAAATGTCTGGGATTTAGGTTAAATAAGAGTCTTAATTGGAACTTTTATCTTGAGAGAACGGTTGCTAAAGCCACATGGGCCATGTGGGCCTGCAGAAGACTTTTTGGTAGGAAATGTTGTTTGAGCTCAAGGCTGATATGAGGGGCTCTACCGTATGATCGTCCGTCCGATTGTGTCTTATGCATCCATAGCATGGTGGCAGAAGACTCTGCAAAAAATTAACATACTTTGCCTTAACAAACTGGAAAGATTGCCATGCCTATACGTCACTGGATCTATAGGAATGGACTCAACTTCATATTTTTTTTTTAAGAAACAGCAGCTACGAGGGAGCTGCCATTTCGACTAACTAACGACGGCTTCTTCACGAAGAAACTTCATGCAGGTATTCTTTGAAAGATACTGTTTTTGGAAATATGCGGAATCTCCGATTCCATAGCTAAAGAGGCCTTCTTTAGCAGAAAGTTCCAACTGATAATCGCCGATAGCGAAGACTGGGAAAATCGGCTCCTTGCACTTGATCTCAGATACGTACACTGGTACACAGACGGTTCAAGGATGGAGGACAGAGCAGGTGCATGTATTTTTAGACCTAGCATTAAACTTGCAATTCCCATGGGCCAATGGCCCACGGTATTTCAGGCTGAAATAGTCGCAATTTTAAACTATGCAAAATTAAACCTTGAAAAGAGTGCGCTTTTCTAATTGCCTTTCAAATAGGACTATGCAATTCAGGCTGGTTAGACACGCCAAAAAATTTGGCAGCGAAAAACACGGTAACACCGAGCTGTGTACCAAGCCATTGCGGAGTCGAATGCAATTAGGTCGCCGACGAGTTTACACGGGAGGGATTGCTAACGACAGTTTGGAAACTTGAACTATTCTGTGACCTCAATTGGTTCTATTCGAAAGCCATAATTACTGAGTGGGTACACTCTGAATGTAGCAAGTACTGGGGAGCAGTGGGGGGCCTTAGAAAAGCCATGCTCTTCGGTTAATGTTTCAACATAAACAGACCACTTCCACTTGCACCGAATACAAAAAAACATAGTAGCATTGCAGGCAAAGATAAGGTCGATGAATTAGCGAAATAACGAGTCTATTTGGAAGAATCCGAGGCTGCTTCATTTCAAGAGGAATTGGTTTGCGATTTCTTGGACTGGCAAGGCGGATGTTGTCGGACATATGAACTTGCAAAATAACTAGGGAATTCTGAGCTGACTATTATAACAGGACGAATACACTAGACCTGCTTAATACAGCGCGGGCAGAATTGTAGCAACCATTAAGGGCCGCAGTCCCATTAGAAAGGAGCTTCCGGTGAGCAAATATCATTTTTTGGCACAAAAGTCAGTTACGAGATTTAGCAGAACCACGATATGCGGTTTTGAACTATAAACGACGATAGGTATTTGGCATTCCTACGAAAGTGCATCAAAATGGCGCAAAATGCGCTAGTTATATTATAGTAGTACTATGAAGCACTGCAACCAACTAATTAACCAACCTTTGCCACTTGCAAACTGCTTTTAAGACAATTTATCTATGCTCACGCAAGCGAGAGATAGATGCTAACTACGAACTTGCGGACTTTTAGATAAACTTGCGCTAGGTGGGTTTGAAAGAGGCCTCGAATCGTATATTTTGCTTCAACAGTCCACTTCTTCTTCTTCTTTATTGGCGCTGTAACCACCTAAGCGATTTAGACCGTGTCCAAAACAGCAAGCCAGTCGCTTCTTATCAGTGCCAACTGACGCCAATTAAAAATGCTAAGTGAAGCCAAATTCTTCTCCACGCGGGATTTTAATTCGCTCTAAATCGTTTTAAAGTTTATACAGCTCATCCTTAAATCGTCTGCGGTATTCGTCATCGCCAACGCACAAAGGCCCGTAAACCTTAAAATTTGGAAAATACCAAATATGTGATAAATACCTGATTTAATTTGTATACTAATAGGCTCGTCTGATCTGAGTTTAAAGATGCGAATAAAACTAAGGTATTCCATTTTTCTAGCCCAACGTTTCGCTAATACTTTTTAGCATCTTCAGGGGCAGTTTGTTTATTTGATGATTGTCACAAACTAATGAGATACAAAACATATTAAAACATAACCATAAAGCAAGAAAAATTTAAATAAAGACAATTAAACATATTAAGTATAGGTACAAACCAACTCACACAATTCTTTCGAATATTTAAAGAAATTTGAAATTAATAACATGAACACATTTAAATTTCGGTGACTAATAAAACATTAAGAACAAAAAACCTTTACCAAATACGCATGTATATGTTCACTGAAAATCAATACATTAGTTGCGTTCGCGTAGCTGTTAATTGTTCTTGTTTAACCAAAACTTACAAGTTTTTGCGTTCGCATACGCAAAAAACTTGCAAAGTAGGGGAAATTGAGAGAGCAAAGTGACATTTCATTTTGAGGGGAAGCTGCTGGTTTCTGCTGGAAAAATTTTCGCCAACAGCAATTTGCCAACAGGAAAACAGCTGATCAAAAACAGCTGGTTGGCATTTACGCAAATCACAAAATTGAATTTGGTGGTTTGGAAGTTAAAAATTACAAAATGCGACTAATTAAACTTGTAAGAAATAAGTAGTTATTCGTTTAATCAATAAACTGTGTCAGTATAACACTTTGTGATGACTTTTCGCGCGTTTTAAATTTAACACTTTTCAACGTAAACAAAAATTATATCAGCTGTTCGTCTAACTTGCAAGTTTCTGCAAATTATCTGTTCGCGTACTATTTTGGATATTTTTCTCTTGTGAGAGAACAGATGACATTTCGCCGGAATTTGGCAGTTGGTTGGTTTTTACTGGAGATTTTAAACGAACGCACTATTATGGTAGCTTTGTCAATACTTATTTTAATAAACATGAAATATAAGCGGCCGCTATGTTGTCTGTATTTTCTTTTTATTGTTTATCGTATTTTCTCGTTCCTCCATAATCCTCAGGCTCTCTAGTGTATATCTGGTTGCTTGTCTCTTTTCACGGTCAATAATTTTCGCGTTTGCAAAATCAGCTGAGTGTCCGCTTGATATAATGTGTTGTGCTAGTGCCGTTCTGAGGAATCTATTTACGAACATAAGGTATCCACACACCTATGCGATTCTGTCGGTGCGAATCTGTCCCGACAAAAATTACAAAAATGCCGACCATAGTTTTAGATGACGAACCACACACTTAGGCGATTTGGCTGCAGCGATTTATTCGAACATTCACAGTTCTTCTTTTTGTCGTGCCGAAATGACAGAATGCCGCGTTTTGAGAACTAAAAAGGTCAGTAAACGGATTTTGTAAAGTTAAAACAAAAGAAAACGAAACGTGTTTATTGTAGAAATGCTAAGAATAAAATTTGTTGTTGAAAAATATATTTTGTTTGTTTATAAAATGACATTTTTCACTGAGATAGAATCGCACAGATGTGTGTGTTCTTGCGTTTTCGAAGTAGTCAACTCTGTAGCATCAAAAATGGTGCGTATCCGCTCCGACGGAATCGCACAGGTGTGTGGTGCCTTTATAGTTTTTTTAAACTTCCACCAGAGGGCGCAACAGTGAACATTTTCCCATTTTCTTCGAAACCAATTTTCGCAATTTGGCAAACTAAAAATTGGTTTTAGACCAATGGTTTCTTCGGCAAATTTGCTCTACGAACATAGTCAAAAAAATTT